CAGGGTTTTTGGCATGTTTATTATATATTTTGAATCACACTACTAACAACTTAAACAAGTAGCCAGAATACAAATACACAACAAGATGTTAGGAGTGTGTCGTAAAGTCGATTGACCATGTGTTGTTTTATTGTGAATGTTATAACGTTAATAACACAGCGATGTCGGTAGAGAATCGTATTCGCCGACGTTTCGGTTACCGTGGATAACCTTTCTCAAGGCAGATTTTATAATCAAATAACTCAAAGGAGAGGATTACAATTCAACGGATGTTTCGTCGTCTGTGTGTGGGTGAGAATTCGTGTAGTGGGCTGAATGGTTCGTTGTCTGTCTTACTAACTCCTATTATCAGATGGAGTCGAGTGGCACCGTGACCTTTATCGTGTTTACTCGTTAGTGAGGTTAGGACAGTCCAAATGCATGATAACAACATAATATAACATAATAACATCCACACAACACAACAAAAAGTTCGTTCAGAACCATGAACGAAAGGACCTCAGAGATATCACATATCATCCGAGGTCTAAAAGGAAATTCATTAACTTCCGGATTTCCTAGAAATGACAGAAATGCCATGAACCTTGGTTTACTGATGAGCCCACTCAAGTATCTACTGAGTGTTGTTACCATTGCACCATAAGGATTTTGACTTTCACTAATCACCCATCATGACGGAAACATGTTTATGCATGTGCAACTTATCCACAGTTTTCTTTATTTTTTTAGTTTTTTCACACGTCCCTAGTAGATCAATATGACCAAACGGACGGTGTGGATTGATACGTTCGCACCCCACATGTGGAATGAAGACTCGGATCGACGGATGCATTTTGGGGAAGAACCGTAAGACGATGGAAACAGCGACATTAGTTCGCATACTTTATTGCTAATTCCAAGTAAAATGAGTGGTCCATTTAATCATTGGAACTATTTGAAGCTACAGGGAAAGAGATCTTAAGTCCTCAGCCACAAGATCGATCACGAGCAACCTAAGTCCATCTGAAAGCTAGGAAATTTATATTTTTATTTAATCAAATAGTGATGTGACAGAAGTGTAAAATGAACTACGAGTTCGCGAAGAAAAAATACTCAGGTTTTTTTAGGAGGGTTGGTTGCTAAAAATGGTTTGAAGTCGGTTGAAGGTTTCCCAAATCAAAGCCATTGCCGAACAAAATACTGATGTACAGACTACCATCAATACTGTGTTGGAGATTGTATTGGTAATGATTTGTAATTGCACAAGACGTAAAGACGTTCCAGGGGTGTCGAATCATTGAATTGAGGTTTGTAATGTCAGACAGCACAGGACGAAAAAAACGGTTGAAATATGTTCTGTTTCTTAGCGGTTCACATGCAATCCCAGCCAAAAGAGTGGATAACGGAGATCACCTAATTCAACTTTGCGCGGACTATGGCTTATTCCTGTCAAGCACCAACTTCTCCCATAAGAAAGTACACCGCCTCACATGGCAACCCCCAACTTTCTTTCTCTTCATTTTTACTTTCTTTTATTGAATATGTAATGATAAAATTTTCAGAAAGGGGAAGCGGCAAATCAAAGAGCTGCCATACAACAAAAACTGAGGAAGCCAAGCGGTGGTTGTGGAATCGAACACACGTCCTTCAGGGCGATAATCTGGTGAAGTTACTACCGAGCCAACACCACCGATGGACTCAAATAGACCACATTACCATCAGCTACCAGTAGTGAGGATCCATTGAAGACCGCCGCTTTCCCTGGTAAACACACATGGACACGGACCATGCTCTGCTACGAGACCGATTCTCCCTACCCCTGGTAAACAACTATAGAAGAGCCACCGGCAACGGACATTCGCAGTACAACGTAAGCGATTCTTGCAAATAGGCCTTCGGAGTGCAGCTTTCTGATTGCCTCAGCTCAACCACCCGTCGAACGACTCAATGAACATGACACTAATCAAAGAAGCCATCCAAATGTCAGTCAAAATAACGACATTCTGGCGCACGATCAAAGTACAAACGACGGATCTTACCATCCTTGGCTGCTTGATGGTTACCGGCAAAAATATGCTTCCTAATACGACATATGACAAAAAGCGTAAATCTCTTAAACGCCAGCTGATTAAGAGTTTGATAAATGATGGGTGGTAAAACGTACAGAGATGAAAAAGACTACGGCAACTGGTTACAGTTGCTCTGTTTTAGGTGCCTAAGTAAAGTAGGCGTGAGGTAATTAAGGACGTTGACGGCACACTGATTCACAGCCAGTAACGCCATCCTAAACAGTGGGCTGAACATTTCGAGGGTCAGTTTGATTGTCTCCATCAGCATTAGGCCTGTCAACCCTCACATCATCTGGGCAACTGCTGTCAGCTAATATCAGTTCTCCATCGGAAATGGAGGTTACCAGGGAAATCAGTTATCTCAAAAGATATAAGGCTTACGGCCCGGACGGACTGTTCATCTACCGCATCCGATAATACCGTCAAATTGTGCTAGTTTCTTACTTTGTAGGACTGAATACCACACCTGCCTGACCAAGAGAGAAACCCACCTTTGGAACCCTTGAATTTACCACGATGCATTTTCTGTGCTAGTTCGATCATATTGGAGACGATGCACTCCATCATGTATTTCCCCCATAGCGGTGAGTCTTGCCAAAATCGCATCATTAACTTGGGAACTTACTGGATGTTCTTGCCTTTGAAGCATTCGTGGCGCTCAAAAAGAGTTGTTCAACTTAGAGGGAAACCCTGTCGTAAATGGATAATCAAGCTATGAACGAGGTGAGATGAGTTACAGTACAAGAGAAACTTTAGAAATGTTGGGTTGAACGATTTTTCACGGGGTCGGAAGTTCTCGAGAACAAAGTGGATTTGTCTAATTGAACGTTTACAGCAAATACGCCCATTAATCTTATCCGAAGATGCACGATTCTTATATGCTAAACTAGAGCGATCAACAAGCACATTACTCAGAAGGGGTTCGTAAATCGGAATACAGGTACGGCAAAACTGGAATATCTATGTCTTTTGAGTTATCATCATTTTCATCGGACAGCCGAGTGCAGCGGAGTGAACTTCACTGATCGCTGCCACATTCATAATGCATACAATGTAAGTAGTATAAGGAAGATAAGGATTGGGCCTATTTTTAGGGACGGGGAAAGAAGGAGAGCCTCTATAGTCGACACAGAGCATGCAATCCAACTGTGCATTCCCACTATTTCAAACATTCTGGTCTGATAAGAGGTGACAGCAAGATCGTCACTGCTCTCATGACCTCCAATGTCTTCAACCACATCAACCCGGAAAACGAGAGACACTTACTCTACCTGATCGATTTGTGCATTTTTCCATACATCGCCTCCAAATGGCTTTCTCCAGTCTGGAGTGACCACTGGATATAAGCTGCAATGCGTAAGGTGACCGTTACATGCAAAAAGTCTAAACCAGCGGAGTTTATTGAGGTGATTTCTATACGATAACGATTTCTTATTCAATAGATTCCCAAATACCCGACAAATTAAATCTAGGTTACTAACCCACTCGCTCCATCACACCTAGGCCAGAATACGTAAGCATCGATTGTCGAAAACCACTGAGCGATGGATGCTTTCTGCCCACAAACTGAAGGTTTAACAATCGTCAAGCGGAAATGATCTGCTGAGTTTGAACAATAATCATAACTAAACTTACGTGAACCAGTAATCGACTGGAGTCAATTAGGAGAGAGAATGGGGGAATAACGATAGACCTAAACGAACCCGAGCCCGACCACCAGCACTATATGTCGAACAGAAGACAAAAATCAAACTGATATATATCTATGTTCTTCCGGGGTGGGAGAGGCAGTATGTACAATGACTCTTGCGAACACAGCTACAAAGCGTTCGGGGTTGGCAACAATACTCACGTCATACATGGTCAGCGTGAAATTTGATGAGCGAAAAGGAAACAGTTGGACCAAACTTGAGCGTGTATGTCCCCCCGAACCATACACACACATACACAGAGATCACGTGACATCTCTGGCCGGCGCATCACTCGGTCAGGGATAGAGGGAGATAAACAGTGTTAGGCCGAATGTGATGCGATCTGAAAGACGCACGTAGGGGAAATACAGAGTGAGGTGTGGAAAAATGGATGCCGAGTCTTTGCTTGTTTACCGTGTCGACATGGACACAGAGATGCGGGGTATGGAGAAAGCGGGTGATCGGTGAAGATGCAGATAGGCACAAGCTGGCAAAGCGCAATCGAGCATAAAAGTGAACACAGTCAATGATACCGTCTCCTCGCGGTAGATGTACGAACGATGAGATGTGGCGTCCAGGA